TAGAAAAGAATACAAACAAGCTTCAAAATCAGCAGATCTTTCTAAATTGTTAATTTTGTGCAAAAAATGTTCTTTAACTGAATGAATTGCTTGGTCTTTGAAAATTATTCAGCTACTAGAAATTATCTTTTTTCCTAGTATAAACACAACAAACAAGAAAAAATTTCAGTGTCACTCAAACTGACTAGCACTCTTGAAACTTTTCTTTTGTTTACAAAAAACAAACATGTTTCTTTCTTTTTATACTTTCATTGTTTGTACAGCACATGAATGAAAACAGCTTTTAGACTTCTGGCAAAATTCCTGATTAATTTTTTTCTCATACAATTCTTAACACTTTGCTAACTTCTTAATGGTTTTTAATTTTTTCTTTTTTTTTTTTCATTTTCTTTATTTTTTAACTCCTGCACATGCAAACAGATTTTAAAGCCAGCTAAATATGTTGTATTTTGCATCACAAAAACAACTGCTAGATTCATTCAAAAAGCCATTTCATGCAAAATAAGCAAATTAGAGTATTTATTTTTATTTCTTCTTGCTTGCTTATAAGAAACTTTCTGACTGGCAATAATTTTCACTGACACATTATTTACAAACATTGGAAAATGACTAACAATTATTAGTGAGTAAATTTACCAAATAATATTACTGGAATTTTAAAAATAGATATTTATACTGTATTCATAATTCATATAAACACTTTTTCTGTAAAAAATCAAAATTGTGAAAAGAGGATTTGATCTTATTTCTGTTTCTTCCTCTTTTTTATATCACAATATATGGAGAGATATTCACTTTACATGCACATATTAATCTTCCAGAATGTTTTGAAAAGTCTACTTCTTATCATTAAATATTAAATTCAGTTTTTCAATATTTAAAAAAAACTGATATTCAGTGTTTCAGGGAAATTATTTCAACAGAAATTTTCTGAAAGAAATTTAAATTAAATGTAAGTTTTCATTAAATAGTACAAGCAATCATTAATCTGATTTAGACAAGATATTGTTTACATGAAGTATAGCATTTAAATTAAGTTTTGCAAATTGATTTTATTAAAATTAAAAGTTGTTATTTTATGCAATAAAATTTTGTATCACTAGAAATTGCTTTATAATAACCAAATTATAAGGTATAATCTTATTATAGCACTATTATTTCAGTTATTCAAATGATAACCATATTCAGTGTTTCTTAATTTTAGAAATCATATATCATTTTAATGTATTATGGCTATAAGCCAACAAATACCAAGGGAAGTCACCATATTAGTGGGATAAATTTCAAATATGTTCTTGTGTTCATTTTAAGATGAAACTTGAGATATATAGTTTAACTCATCATTAGTAAGATTTATTTCTACTTGTATTTTTGTACTTCAAATGCCACTTGTTTTTGGTTTGCCTTTCCTGAAATTATATCAAAGCAATGGCTCATCTTACTTAGGTTTATATATATATATATATATATATATATATATAAACTTCAGGGAACTTTTTTATTGAAAGTAAAGAGCATTCTTTTTTGCAATCAGATATAAGTTATAGATGAATATAGTTTGTTACTCAATCATTATATTCAGATTTTTATTTAGTATAATAAACAAATGTACTTCAAGTTTCTTGTGTCTGCTTTAAACTTTTTCTCCTTGAATATTTGCATCTTTGTTATTAGTATACAAATTTCTTGATTTGGTGATTTAAACATTTGAGATCAGCTGATATCTCATGAGAAGTTTCTTGGAGTAACTGATGGGAGAAATTTTTTTCCTGAGTCTTCTTACTCTGGTAGTAAATTAAAGAGAAATTCAAAATAATTTGTCAATAGTGATGAAGGCAATTAAAGCAATGATTGGCACAATATTTCTTTGATTTAATGTCATATAAAAATGTCCAAGTTCCAAAGAGTTAAAGATGATATTTATTGCAAATTATGTTCTACATTCTAGGAATATATGCAATATATTTAAAAATAAGCCAAAATCATATAATATAAGGTTCAAGAAAGTAATTATCTTTGAATGTAAATAGAAGTACTAAACTGATAAGGCAGTAGATCTGGATAGTTTTTTTATTCCTTTTTATGTTTCATCTTTTCTATGGTTCAGTATATATTAAATGTATTTTGAACTATTTGACTTATTTTAATTTTTTATTGACATTCAAGTGCCATGCAGATATGACAGAATTTTGTCTTGTTTAATACTAAAATGTTCTTCCCTTTTTTAATGATTTTTTGTAAATAAATCTCATCAGACTATCATAGATTAAAACAGTACACATCTCAGCAGTTTGTCAAGTGCTTTAATCACTAAACTGATATCTCATTTACTTGTTTCTCCATTTCTTTGTATTGATATCTCAAATACTTTATTAATGTAAATACTTCAAGATTACAATATTCATATTTTAAACAGTTTTCTTATGTGAGCTTATAAATAATGACACTTAAACTAAACTAGATTCTATTAGATTTAGTTACTATAAGTTACAAATTACAATTTTAGCTCCATGCAAAATGTCTTAATCACCCACAGCATAAACTATATCAACTACTTGCACAAGCTCAACATCTGGTGTATTCTACAGAACAGAGAGTCAGATTATTGTAACTATTCTGTATATATTTTTGTTTTTTTGCTCAGGTGAGAAAAACTTTCAATTTGGATACTTTCTTTGATATATTGATATTTCGATGTGAGATGATGTAATCATTTGCAATTTTTTTTTGTTTTAGTATTTTTGGGTGGAGTGTGGAAAACCTACATGCAGCTCATTATTTCTAATTTATTTATGCTTTTCCCTGGAAGATAATAAGTGTTTTGACTTCTGTTGGGTGTGACTTAAACTGCAAATGCCTTGAACTTGAGAAGTTATAAATATAGATCTTCATAAAACAGATACTTTGATCACCTTTTTATTATAATGAACAAATTAAAAAAAAAAATGGTATTGTAGTTTATAGCTTTAGAAAATTTAAATATGCTTGATATTTTTGTTGGTAGTAATGTTTGAAAATATTATTTTCTAATTTGGACTAAAATAGATAGTTTCTTTAAAATACATACTTTTTAAAAAAATTCTTTAAAGTGATAACTCCATATTATTCAACATGGTGAAACATTCAACTAAGACTAGACTGAAATTGAATCAGCTTTCAATGATAGGATAGATGATGGAGTCTATAGATGAGTTATGTTAATGATGTAATTAAAATAGAAATTTTATTCATAATGCTGAAATTCACAAAATTCTTCTCTTGGGTATAGAAAATCATATCAATTCATAAAACTCTATTTAGTAAAAGAAAAAGTCAGATAACACAAAAAACAACAAAATCCATTTAAAATTTCTGCTACTTTCTTCAGTCTGTAATACAAATGTGCAAGCTGAACTAGTTAAAAGCAATGCTAAAAATAAAATATGGTTTAAACTGATATACATAATTTTAGACTAGGAAAAGTTTTTTGACAAATATGATATCAGTATCTTGATTAAAATCTTTTAGATTCTTATAGCTTCTTTTAGATTCTCCCTAAAATATCTATAACAGTCATATAAATTGTTTCACAAAAATACTGTCCTAATGTCCATCTGGTTGAATCTTTTGAATAAATATAATCTCCACTTTTTTTTCTTTATATTTTAACTAAATAGAGCAGACACTTACTTCACTTATACAATTAAAATCATCATGTTGTGTAAACATTTTCACAGGAAAAGAAACCTTGAGAAAGAAGAAAAGAATTTTTTTTCTTTTTTTAACATAGAATTTTATGTCAAAGTAGGTAGTATTACATGTGATATCCTTTTGTAATGAGAGAAAACACAAAATGCCAAATCAGAAGTGTTGGCTACTTACCACTTTAAACCATTTGGTAAGGTAATAAGTAATGGAAGAGGCCCAGAGCTTGTACCCGACCTAAAAGAAGGGCCAGGTTTAGATGTGAGAGAAATACAGGTAGGAGATAGGTGGAAAAAAGAGGGTGAAAGGAGAAAATGAGGGAAAGTAATTAGAAAGAAAGCGAGAAAGTTTCACTTGTTCAAGCAAATAGGAAAGTGCCAATCTATGATATTGAGTTACACACATATTACCTGAGTATCTTTTATTCTTGCATTTTTGCCAAAAAGGAGGGAAGTGCCATTCTGGGATAATTTTATCACTGTTACCATGACAACTACGAAGTAAAAAGTGGTAGGCAAAGAACCCAGTAATCTATCAGCTGTTTATAGATATGCATTCCTTGATATAGAGTTGCTGCTGATACCTTCACAACTGACACTACTATTCTGTATCACTCACAGTGCTGCCCAACATGTGAGCGTATGCATATACATGTGCTGTGCTGGTCTGGCCCTTACAACAGCTTTCTTATTTTCCTCAGTGTAGGTAGATAGATAGTTGAGTAGGTGGAGTGGCTGGGAGGAGGGGGAAAGGAAGGGAAAGGAGGGACTGGAAGCTATCTTGCCTCTCCAAAGTTCTTACTAGCACTACCACCACTTCTGCCTCCGACCCCTGCTGCCCTCTCATTAGTTGTTGTTCTCTTTCTTCTTCATCACTTACACACTTGCTTGTGTCAGCTGCAGCACCACAGCCAACAGGGATGGACCAGCAGCAGCATGAGGAGCTGAGGCAGCAACAGCCATCGTGAACTCTCTAAAGTTCTCCTCAAGAAAAATCTACAGTCACCAATATTTTCCCTTTTTGTAACTGCTGCATTATAAACAACAAAAACATAATTACTCTTTGCTGCAGAGGATTTTTTTAAAAAAGGGAAATAAAAAAACAAACAAACTATTCTATCATCATCACTACCATTGGACTATTGATAGATAATTGAATTGAACCTACCTGTTGAGTTTGAACTTACCCCCCCACTTGTTACATTTGAGTGATTAATTCCAAGGACTAGTTCTTTTTCTTCTCTCTAACAAAACAAACATGGAATACCTTCGAAGACATCGCTATAACATGAATCAATTGCTTACTGATCTTTACAGGTACAAAGATGGAGATGAAATTATACCAACTAGAAGAACACGCTTGTCTTATAATGATGGAGTATCATCATTATTCTTGAGTGATCTCAACTTGTCTGATGCTGGTTCATATTCCTGCAAAGCTGTCAATAAATTTGGACATATTAGCACCAGTTCAGATCTTGATATTCAAGGTATGTTAGAACTATACAAAGTTTGTTTTTTTTATTTTATATCTTCATATAATTGTTTTTTGAAAAGATTTGAAAGCTCCTTTTACATAAATGTATTCTGTTGTCAAATTTTGAAGGTTTTGCAAGTAAATATTTTAAGTTTACTATAATGAATAGCTATACCGATTGCAAATATTTGAAAGAAAAATAAGAATCTCATGTTTCTTATTCAAAAGAATAAAAAGTTTTTTCAGTTTATCAAATTCAGATATCAAGATATTTTGCATTGTTTTGTTTTTTTATAACAAAGCAACTATTTGGTAGTATTATCTGAAATAAAAGAATTGTGGGACACATGTAAAAAACATTTCTTCACAATATTTAGTTATTCTGTAATTAAGCTTCTTTTCTGATATAAAGATTCTAGAAACTAGAAACAAGCATTTCTATACAAAATCATTTTGTTGTCTTTAATCATTGTATCCCATGCACATAGCATGTGGTAATGTTTTCTGTTATTTATGAAGCGTTATCTTCTCTATTTTTACCATAATTCTTTAATCAAATTTTTGTCTTACTTTTATAAATTGATAATCTTTTTAGAGGTTTTTATATTTCCTTTACCTAATTGTATTAACATCATACATTGTATTTTATCAGAGGTCCGTCATCGACGGAAGAAGAAAGAAGGTTTGGACTTAGAAAGGTAATGTATACTTTGTTGCATCTTTTACTTTTGCCTTAGGCTACCTTTTAATTTATCAAAAGATGAATTACTAGAGATATATACTTGATTTAATCTAAGTGCAGGAGAAATTCATACCAAATTTATTCAGTTAGTGGAATTATGAAAAAGTGCAGTAAAATTTCAAATTAACTTCAGAAATTTATCTTTCTTCCAAAGAATTAAGAGAAATTTTATTTATCAGTTTTTCAGAAATCATTAAACAAGGTGGATAGTGATAAATCTACACTGAGATTTCTTGTCTGAAGATAAATTATATTTTTAGCAGATGTTGAGATAGTTAATGTACATGCTGGATATCTGCTTCCCTTTTCCTTCACTGGCCAGCCACAGTTATCAGCACCAAACTCTGAGTGGCATAGTTGGGCAGGTGAGGGAAAAGTGGAATGATCATCTTCTTCAACAAGAAACAACTTGGCTGCTCAGAGAAAAAAAACGTAGACGGACAGGCAGCAGGAATGCAGCCCCAAATCATACAAACTATTAAGTTTCTGTTATCTATTAGTGGTGTAGTTAGTTATACAGATGTGCTCTTCTGCAGTGAACAGTGGGAGTAAATAGAGAAAGTGAGAAGCAGCCAGTCTAGTTTGGTTTACTGCAGCTTCTTCCTAAAAATTCTCTCTCTCCCTGCCACTGGCTTCTGCTTTTAGCTTTAACTTGTTGGGCAAATTAGGCATTTCTCCAACTGTTGTAGGATGGTAGTTTGAGAAGTATCAAGTGGCATTTCTAAAGAAGTTTCCTCCTACATATAAGTGAAAGCTGCCTTCAAACCAATACAATCAACAGTTTGTTTCACTTGAACTGGAAAAATAAACAGCAGCTACTGCCCTCTCATCATTTTACCTCTCCATTCTTTGTGGAAAGTATATTTAAAAACATTTATCATATTTCATTTGCATAGTTTTCAAACACAGTTAATAGTTTCTACTATTTCATATTTAGTCATTTGCTTTTCATATAACTGTATATGAGTTAAATCACAATTGGAATTGATAGAAAAATAAATAAATGATTGATAAATTAGATATTTGGGAATTTGGAATAAGTTAATACATCAAAAGTTAAAGAGTTGGTTAATTAAAATTTGAAGATATGGTCACCTGCATACAAATATATTATGTATACATGTATGATGATTTAATTCATGATACTGAAAGTAATTTCTACCAGGAATAATTATATAATTGGAGTATTAACAAAAATCCATAGATTGAATTAAATCATGCACAAACTAAAAACTTATAAGATTTTTAAAAATTGTTCAATATCATCTGTATCAAATAAAAGTAATTTTTATAATTATTTGACAAATGTTGATATGAATATTTTTGGATACTTTAAAATCAAAATTTGAATTCCACTATGAGCAACTAAAAATATCCGGCCTGGAACTGCCCAGTCCTCATTTGCCTGTCTTGATAGAGTTCAAATGTGTCTACACAGTCTTGTGGGTGATGAATTATTTTCCACCCCACAAATCCTTTCCCTCTGATGAAATGTTATGAGCCTCTCACTGATCTATTGCTACTTCTATGGCCTGTGTTCTGACAAACTACATTCCTTAGTCCCACCACCCCTGACCTTTTTTTCAACTTGGACCCACCATGCCATGTACACAAGGGTGAATCATTCCCATTCCTTTTGTATTCCAATAGTAAGAAGTAAGCTCCATTCGAACAGCTTCTTACCAAGAATTGCTGCTTTGTGGAACAGACTCCTGACAGGATGTTTTCCCAACCACTACAATCTTGATCTCTTCAAGTCTAATGTTAACTGTTATCTTTCTTATATGGCCCCATGAACTTCACTTCTTGCTCTTTCTCTTACTCTTATACAACACCACACAGCAACCTTGTATTTTGAGTGGCTCTTCAGCCTTATGAACATTAGTATAAAGAAAATATATATCAAATTTGTGTTTTAGTGAAGTAAGAATAGAGATTTACAAAAACTATGTAAATCTTTGAGATTATTAATAAAGAAAAATTATTAATTTAAAAGAATAGAAACATGAATTCAGTTTAAAGTAATTTCATGAGGCTAACTGATAAAACAAAGAGAGTTACATTTCTGCAAAGGGAATTATAATAATCAGAAGACTGTAAAGTAATAGCAAATATTTAAAGATACAGTATAATTATCTGTGGTATTTTAATTAAATAAGTTGTGTTGCTAATAAAATAATGTTTAATTAAGTATTTTTTATATACTTTTTGTTTAGTCGTTACATCACTTATGATGACAGCCATGCGGATCCTTATTCCCCTCCAATCATCATTTTACCTTTGGTTGATGAAGCCAGGAACATGGGTGATAATGTTGACTTTAACATCAAAGGTATACATATTAATTTCTTCATGAAGTCTTTAGAAATTAGAAAATCAAAAATAAATGTGAAAAAGTTTAAGATATTACTTTTGTCTATCGATAAAAACAATTAATTCTTCACCTTCATCTTTTCCTATCTATTTAATGTGTTTTAGGCTTCCCATGTAACTCTGTTATATCTTATCAAAAGTCATTTCTACTAAATGAAAGTAAAAATATTTGTTTCCTATGATTTCTTTAGAACAACTGTTATTTTGTCTATAATCTAATTTACACACAAATTTTATGCACATTATCTTTTATATCAAAATACAGATATACATCAGTATTGTTCTTGAACAATGCACTTATCCCTATGCATTAAGTAGTCATTATTTTATTTCATAAATTATAATAGAAATCATCACTAATAAATACATTTTATTATAAATGTTATCATTTATTGTATTGTAATGTTTACTATATAGACCAAATACTTCAGCAGGCATCAAATGGAATATTAAACACTTACTAAAATTGATGCATCTTTATTACTACTTACAAATTTACACCTGATATTCTATTTTTTAGTGCGCAGCCGTACTCCTGTGGAAGTCACATGGAGACATTATGAAGATGTTATTCTGCCATCAGAGAAATTCAAGTTGAAAAAAGACGTTGATGAATTCCATCTCCATATCTCTGATCTCAATCTTGATGATGGTGGCCGCTGGCAGTGTAGAGCTGTCAATTCTTATGGACAGGCAGAGACCACCTGTAAATTGACTGTTCACAGTGAGTAATATTTAAATATAATTAAAATAACTTTAACCTGAATTTTAAAAGTAATTTATTTGAAGTTTTCCACTTCTACTACCTTATACTAAGTAAGTTTTGTTATTGTATGCATTTATGTACTTGCTCCATTTAAAAACATGATACAATTTATTTTTATTGTATCATTATTAAAATTATTATATAAAAAATACTTATTATGCTTTAATTTACACAAAAATAACGTAACACATCAGATTGTTAAAATTAAATATAGTTGTACTTAAATAATTTTAATGAATTGAGCATTTGAAATTTTCCAAAATATATATTTCTCAAAGAATAATTACTTTTTAGAAAACCAGAAAATATTATTCAATAAAGGATATTATTAAAGTTTTCTAGGATTACAGAAAAAATTAATTTTAACAAATATATTTTCCAAGACTAAAGAATTTAAATGATTTGAAATTTGTTAATTTTAATCCAATTTGTTACTGCTTATTGCACTTTTAGATTATACACTTGAAAAATACCGTGTACCCGAATTCACACAAGAATTACATAATTTTGTGGTATCTGAAGGAGCTGAAGCAAGATTTATATGTAAAATTTCTGCTCACCCAGAACCTGAAGTTACATGGTAAGTGAACACTTGCACATTCAAGAATCTTAAAATAACTTTTGATATTAAGATCATGTGAGATTTTTAAGGGTTTGCTTATTATTTTGTAGGACCTTGAAAATATTATTCATGGTTTTAAACAGGTATATTTATAATAAATGATAATGGTAGATTAGCTGTTTCCACACAGTAAGCATTTGGCATTCATTGTCAGTTGAAATTTATAAAATTTTTCTCTTAAAACTTTTTAACGTAAATTTCACAGACCCACTGTTATAACTTTTTCTAGTATTGATGGAAGTGTCCTTCTTAGTCTTTTGTAAACTATAGAAAGTCAATATCTTGATTATATCATTATTTTCCTTTCTAGTTACATGTGCTACTCATTTTAATTGTTATTATTGGAAGTCTTCAAGTTAAGTTCTGCCAAAGAAGTGTTTACTTTTTCACTTACAACTAAAAGTACTGAGAAAAACACTGTAAACTTATCAAAATTAATCAGTTTTTATCAATTTCTCTCATATTCATAATCAGCCAACATGACATCTGTTTTGGGTCATCTACATAAAAATAAAAAAATTTCTTAAGCAAAATTGTCAACTGAAAGTATTGTAGAGGACCGAGTGTGTATTTACGTGTTGTTGTATTAGAAACATGTGTATAACTCCTGGTAGAATATTAAAAGGTCCAACTACAATATGAAAATGTCAGACTCGGATTAAGTCCAACTGAAGATAAGGAAGACAAACAACCAAGGCCGATATATATTAAAAAAAATATGTGTATTAACAACAAATTACAAAGCACATAGACAGTTAACATTGTGTTTGTGTGTGAACATTTTTGTGTGTGTGTGTGTGTGTGTGTGTGTGTGTGGACATTCGTGTTTGGTGAATCTTTGTAATGTTCATAGCATTTTCCCAGAACTGGGAAACGCTGATCTTTTAAGAGCTTACATCTTGTCGCTGAAATGAAGAAGAAAGAGATTTACCTCACCTCCACGCGAGGTGGAATGCAGCATTAAGCCTGAGGGGAAAAAGAGAAAGAGGCAAGAAGTTTCCCAGTATTTATAGTATGGGGAGAGAGATCCCTGGTGAAGAATTAGGGAACTAAAAAGGAAGTAACTCTGACAGTATTACTGAATTCATATGTTTATTCTAAAGAGGACATTGAAGTTTTTTTTTTTTTTTTTTATCTTCATTGTAGGTATAAGAACAGGCAACCTATAGAAAATAAAGGCCCCTACAGATTTACTCAAACATCTGATGATACTTTTATCCTTGTCATTGATGAAGTAGTTAGAGAAGATATTGGTTACTATATGTGCCAAGCAGTTAACACAGCTGGTTCAAAATCCACTGAAGCTAAACTTGCTGTTGAAAGTAAGTAGCAGATTTAATATCTTATATCATTTTTCTATGATTTTATCTTTCCCAAATTTCTTAGTCCAAAAATGTAAAGTTATACTAAATGTATTTCTATTCAAACTAAAGTCTTTACCAAACCAGAGTCAATGCCTTCTGTTTGGAAAAATAATATTTTAAAATCCATATAAAGTATTTTTATATCATACATAATTTTCTAAATTTGTAAAAAAAAAATCATTTCCTATAAACAATGTAAATGAACATTTTTCCAGATAAAATGTTTTTTGTGAACACTACTTAAGTTTAACCATTTTTTTTACTTCTCTATAAATTATCCATATATTTATGCTTTAAAAATATCAAATTTATATAAGAAATAAAAATAAATGTTTTTAATAAAGAATAAAAACTATTACAAAAAAATAAAGAAATAATAAATAATATATATAGGTGTTCATCCAGATTTTTATAACTTTGTTACAGCTTATGATTACACATCATGGGAATAAATTGTTACCCTGGTTGATTTAAAGAATTGAGTTTATATTGTTTTTTGTTTTTTTTATCAGCTGTAGAGAAACCATTATCTTTATTGGAAAGAAACCCACTTCAGCGAGGACGTATTAAAAGTGAGAGATTTGGCAGCAAAAAGAACAAATATGCCCATGCTCCAGAATTCACCACCAAGCTGAAGAGTAAAAGCGTTCCAGCAGAAAGTACTGTGAAGCTATCATGCACTGTGTCAGGTGTCCCTGAACCTGATATCCAGTGGTACAAGAATGGAGAGAAGATTTACAGCAGTCTGAACTGCTGCATGAGGGTAAGTTACTTACTTACATTTATTTAATCTTGGTATATTTACTTGTAAAAAGAGACTACTTCAACTGGGCTCTCAGCAAACATGTTGATATTTCATGACTTTGAACATTTGATATTTCCTCTAGAGATTGAAATAAAACATGTAGGAACCTCAGGACATTAAATCTCTAATGACACTTTGAAGACCTCAGATACAGGCTCTAATGTAAAAAGAGAATTATATATTTGTCTGACATCATTCCGATATATAGAAATTTATATATCATATTCTTCCATATATATATATATATATATATATATATATATATATATAAGCAAATATATGGATATAGATCCGACAGTATGAAGAAAAATATACGGAAAAAACAAACAAAAATCCTTATATGCAATTATGCTGTTTTAATGTTAATATAATGTCAACGTCAGACATTTTCATTTTTTATTCAAAATACTCAAATTTTAGGAATATGTTTTCACAGCGTCGTCCACGTGACGACAACGTAACCATGTTTAAACGGAACACTGATCTTATAAAACTTTCAGTTATCTGTTTGGATAAGTCTTGTCTTTGTTGATAAGTTGATCTGTTTGGATAAGTCTTTGTCATGTTGAATTGATAATGTTAATTATATTTTATGAATATGTCCTGAAGATGGTTTATTAGACCGAAACGTCCGACGTTGACATTATATTAACATTAAAACAGCATAATTGCATATAAGGATTTTTGTTTGTTTTTTCCGTATATTTTTCTTCATATATATATATATATATATATATATATATATACACACACAATCAATTAAACCAATATGTGTAAAATTATTACACTTTGGAAGTGCTCACATTTTGGAAAAACAGAGTAATCTAATGTGTGTGTGTGTGTAATTTTCTAAAAAATAATCATTTGAAGTTTATTTAAATGAAATACTTATAGCAAAGTTTATTTGTTTCTTTTCAGAACAACTCTGGACTGGTGTCCCTTGAAATTGCTGTTGCAGCCCATGAAAATGAAGGTCAATATGTCTGTGAAGCCTCCAACAGTGAAGGAACAGTCAGCTGCAGTGCTCAAATAACTGTTGAAGGTAAGTATTCAAATATATTCAACAATCAGTGCAATCCTCACTTTTAATGGAAATCTTTTAAATGGTTCTTAAGCAAAGTTTAGATAAGAACAATATACAGTATGTGGTAGAAATATCTCTCACATAATGGTATGACATTAGTGGCAATGATGTCTTCATCTAGCCAATATCTTACCATTATGTGGGAAGTATTTCTGCCACACCCTGTATAATGTACAATATTTCAACTAATAACATTAGACATCACAATTTCAATGTCAGAAATAACTACTGTACATTTTGGCTAATTTCTTCATTTAATGATTTGCTATCTGTTTTAGAAAAAAGAGTATATATTTTAAATCTTTGAAATGATTTAATAAAATTGAATTTTTTAGGTGATAAAAAACCAGTTGCAGACTCATCTGAGAGTGAAGCTCCTGTCTTTATTGAAACTCCTCTGTGTAGCACTGTGGTTATTGGAGGAGATGCTGTGTTTCAGTGTGTTACCAAAGGAAACCCTATGCCTTCATTTAAATGGTAAGATTATTTTACAAATTATTCACAATTAAGTAAATGTTTGATAATTTTTATTTAGTGTTTGATATAATAAAAACTATTTTAAATGTATTAGTGTAAGTAAACATTCTTAGATCAATTCTTAAAAGGTATTGATTAAAAAAATAAGGTTTTAACCAAAGTCCAGTTACATGGAGCTTTCTTTCAAGTTATACCTTCACCTTTGTATGTAAAAGGAAAAGGTCAAGATCATTCCCTAATGCCTGAGAATTATTTTAAATGGAACTGAAAAACTTCTGGTATCATTTGTATATACTACTGTGGGACCATGTTAATTTTGACCTTGTGTCAAACCTATCACTGTGGTGTTTGGCAGATAAATAGACTTTGGATTAATTCTACATTTACAATTTTTTTTATTTCAAATTGTATTTCTATCTCATGCTTCCCTTTTTCTTTGTAGGACTAAAGATGGTCTAAATGTAGATGAAAATGATCACTGCTCATTGTTTGTGGATAGCCATGGAGGATGCAGGCTTGTCGTTCATAATGTGCAGGAATCAGATGCTGGTCTATATATGTGTGTTGCCCATAACACTATGGGCAGAACAAAATGCTCTACAAGATTACGTGTTGTTGGTGTGTACCATTCCTTACCTATAGCACTATTTGGCATTTGTTCACCTCATGACAAAATATCTGTTTATTTTATTCATGTTAAAATTGTACTAACTTGCATAAATAAACCTGGAAATATCCTATCAAGCTATATAGGTAAATCAACAAGTCTAATGAGGGAAAAGCATTTATTTTACAAATAATTATTTTTCAACATACTGAACAACAAGAACATTATTCAGTAATGAATATTAATCACACAGACTGAGCATTAAACAGGGAAAATTTCAGATTAAAATTCAGTTAATAGCTGTGTCTGGCTAGAGATTTATTGATCCATCCTCATAAATATATGTCATCTTGTTATTGCAAAATGAATACCAACATTAATTTGGAAACCATTAAAAGTTTTTTTTTTCATCTTTTTATATTTAAATTTTTTCCATTAGTTTACATTTCCACTATTGTAATATTATAATAGTGACTTTTTAAAAATTCCCTGATGTTAGAAATTAGTTCTTGTTAAAAGTGTTCACATTTTAAAAAATAAGTCCCTGTTATTCCTAAATATTAATGTAATGGTCTTGGATAAAGACTGTCTTTTTTACAAATCTAAAAAACGTTTTCAGAGATTAAACCTACAAAATAACTAAATATAATATTTTCAAACTATTTTTCTTAATATATAAACAATAAAACAATTTATAAGAGAGCTAACTGAATTGATATTCATCTGTGTGTCTTTGCTTTTACACTGTTGATTTTTCTAACTAAATCAAATATCATAAGCTTTCTCTTGCTTAGAATCTTTATAACTACCTTCTTATTTCTTTCTTTCTTTTGATTATTATGAGAGCTGAGAGATAGTGCAATATTTTTTTAGCCAGAAATCATTATCGACATCATCTCTAGAATAGTTCAAATAGCTTAGTTACATATATTTAGTAAGAAGAAACTGTTTCTTTAATTTTTGTCATTTTTGTTTGGCACAATTAGATTATCATTTAATTTTGTTTAACATTTTTAGGTCAAGATGAAGCCCATGAGCATCAAGGATTATCTGGAACTCGAGCAACTCACCACAGCCATCAGAAGTTTGAAAAAATCCCTGACCCTGATATCTCAAACCGTATGATGATGTCTGGAAGGCCACCTTATTTTACCTTGATGCTTCCCAAGTTAATTGAACTCAATGAGGGAGATAAACTGCGCTTAGACTGCTCCCTTGAAGGTTATCCTTCACCTGTTGGTAAGTTATCAATCAGTAATCATTCATTCACTTGGGATTTAGCTTTACCACATTTGTTTTATTACATTCTTGTAAGTTTTCATATCTCTCTGGAATATGTATATATATATATATATATATATATATATATATATATATATATATATAACCTTTGAAAGAGCAACATGAGACTTATGTACTGTTGAAGAAGAGTAAAATAATCATACATTTGATATTGATATATGCAGTTACTATTAGATTACATTACAAATAATTTTTATCATTCTGAGATTCCTAGAAATAATTGTCTGAAATTAGACAGGGTAATTTATTAACGTCAAGTAGAAATACGTAACCAAATCTCTTGCAATCATTTTGTCATATCATACAAAGTTTAAAGCATGTAAAAGTACAACACTTCAGCTCTTCTAGCATCCTATATAAAATCATATTTCTCTGCTAAGGACTAAGGGAATTCATTTAGCAAACTAAAATATAAAGTGTATATTAATATTGTAGTAAATGATTAATCATCATTTATACATATTATTGAAAATATACATTAATGCAGAATACTTGAACTTAGTTTATAAATGAAGACAAATATTAAGTATTATAAAACTTTTATCAATAATAATTACTATTTATGAATTTCAATGTTAAAGGTTTATGAATTTCAATATTAAGATGATATGATAATTACTTATGAATCAGAGTTATTATAAAAATTACATTCTGAGCATTAGCTTTCAAGTTAGAGAATTTAAATTATTGTAATTTCTTCACAGTCACCTGGCAAAAAGGCGTACGGGAACTTGTCTATGATGCCCGCCATCGTATAATTGCCTATGGAACCTTACAGACCCTCGAAATTCCATCAGTGCTGATTATGGATCATGGTGAATATTTCGTACGAGCTGCTAATGTGTTTGGCATTATTGAAAGTTCCTGTCTTGTCAAAGTTAACAAGAAGGGCAGAAAAATGGCAGAGAGGTAAGTTCATAAATTCATTCACAAATATCCTTTCTTTTTTCTTACTTCAGAAATAAAAATTAGTTGATTGGTAATATTTTTTTTTACTTCTAGACTTATATTTAATAATCTGCCAATTAGTATAAATATTATCATTCTTTTCCTGTACCTTGTCTCTTCAGGACATTGATGTTCATAGTTCCATACAGCTTCTTGCTTTTGTTGCATTATAATCCATCTTTGTCTTTATGGCACTTGTTCCTCTTTGTTATCACTGAATCTAAAATCCTTACAAACATCAACTGTATAAAATTTAGATTATAATATTTTCATAATTTTTAAAACTCCTGATGGTCTAATTATTTTACAATTTCTTTGATTGATAAATTTCAAAAAGTAATTTCTTTTAAACCTATGCATTTTAAATATTTTTGTGTATATATTTTATAAATTAATATCTAATCTTTTTCCTTGTTTTTGTTTCCAGAGAATATAACAAAATGAAATTTCCTGCATCTTTGCCATACGATGCAGCAGATGGTGATGCGCCACTGCAGGGTAAGTTAATCATTTATTATTCCCACAAATACTTTGCAAAACAAACACACCAAAAAGAAAACACTCTGCACTTTTAATAACATAGATACATACTGCCAATTAGTAAAATTCTATCTAAAAAGTTAAAACTAGAATTCAAAAAATTAAGAATCTGTTTAATGCCATGAACTTATGAAAAATTACTCCTGATTTAGGATAATTATAATTATCACTAATATTCAGAATAATATTACCTTTATATATCATAAATATTAATCTTAAGTTGTCTGCAGATTTTTCCTTATTCATTTTTTAACTAATTTTTCTTTCATCTTATTTTTATTACAATGCTTAGGTCATATATATATATATATATATATATATATATATATATATATATACTTTATATGACCATAGGCAGCATGGATCAGAAATAAAGAATAACATTCCAAAAAATAAATGAAAGAAAAACTAGTAAAAAAATTTATAATGACATACACTATTTGAAATAGTTGTTTATTTATGGTGAATATAATGTATCCAGTACATTATATTTTCACATTATTTCAAATACGCCTAGTGCATAATACTATGAAAAATTAGAATGTAACTAAAATTATTATCAGAAATTGTTACTGTTTAAACTTGTATAACAAACTTTTATATATAATATATATGATGTAAATTCCACAAGCATTAATAACAAAAAATTTAGATATGGCTAAGATGTTGAAAATTATACAGTGAGCCAGTATATTGGTAAAATTATCAGTAAAACATTTTATTTGATAGCATTTTTCTATCTAAAAGTATAAATAGTATTTATTTGAAATTCTATCAACATTAAATATGTCATTACTATTATATCTATTAATGAGTTATCTAAAATTCCCTCTAAATAGTTAATAATGATTTTACTAGATTATGCACTCCTCTCCCAGAAACTGTAATTAAGGTCTGCTCAGTATAGTTACAGTATAAACCCCAGGTTGACTATGTGGGTGTTGAACAAACAAAACTGTGCCTGAGCAGAGGTATCTGCAACAGAGATTATCCAGTTACCCTCACAGACTATAGTCTCCCAAGAATTGAATGCCTACTTTTTTTATTTAGTTAATAATACTAAATAACACTATTTTTATATGACATTTAGCAAACCTTCAGTTTGTACTAATATACAATCTTATCAAACTCTTATCTTTAATAAATAGAAATCTAAATATTATTTTATTATTTTTTCTTATCTAGCATAATTTTATGTAGTGACACTTAAAAGGCAGTAGAATTCATTATGAAATATTAATACATAACTTAGCTATATTTTTAAAAAAATTCATTCAATTAGTTCTTACATAATAGCAACTCCTTTTCTACAGGTGACAAAGAAAAACCTTTAGTAGAACCAAAGGGACAAGGTATTTAAAAGATTCATTCACAATTTTGCACAGCTGCCTCTTAACATTTTGCTAAATATTCATGTGCAACTTATTTACTGTTGATCACATTTGATAAGCTTTCACAGCTTAAAGAATAATGTCACTTCCTAACATACTAACAAGTCAACAAGTGGCATTCACTTATGATGTAGCTTTTTGAAGTTCTCTAGCAGAAAAGCAAAAATTAAAAATAAATGATGGTTTTGGATTGGCTTCAGTTTTAGACATGCATGTCAGTGTCATTAGATGTCAGTTTATAATGCATGGAGATAATAGTCTCCGTAACTGCTATGTCAGTTGTCAGACTCATGTAAACATTAAGCATGATTTATCGACTGTCACTCAGCCTGAAAGAAGAACTATATAGGTGATGGAAAGAGAAATAACTGTAAGTACAATTTTGTAAACTATGCTTTAATATTTCACTAAGATATGTCTATCAGCTTTATGTTTTGAGCAACATCAACTACGTTAAATGGTTGGATTTAGTTAAAAAGTTCCCATCTTAAAAAGAAGAAAACATATTTGCTTCTTCATTATTAGAGAGATATAAACTTTTAATGATGTAATTCTAATTAATATAAATTTAAAAACAAAACAATGGATTTATCCTTTTTTTAATATATGCAATTCATTATTTGGCAATAATGCATTGATATCTATCTAGTATCAGTATTTGTAAAATGCAACGAAGATCAATTATTTTTATAATAAAATTGTTGTTGACTTATTGTAGTTTTATTATAACCTCCTTGTCATTACAAAAGGATCTTTAGGCTATAAACATCAGAGTACCAGGAAAGTATACTCATGTCTGGTCATGTGTTGAGAATCACATAAGTAGACTTTTATCCAGATCAGTAAACTGAAAGAAACAATGGTATTTACCTTAGAAATATTAAAAATCATTACAAATGGAAAATTTGAAAACATTGATTATTTATGTAAAGGAATTAAAATATTGGAATCTGATGTAACTTGACAAGATTTTTTTTAAGGATAAAAGGTACCAGAACACAGAATATTAAATGAATTTAATAAATTGAATTATTATAAAAGCACAGTGGAAAACAACTTATTGATAAAATCTGTACATTTTTTTAAAAATAAAAGTTTGTCTTTAGTTGAATTTTTTTTAAAGTCATTAACAATCAAATTAATTCAGATCAATTAATTTTTGTTCTTATTTATAAATTTTAAAATTAAGTGATATTTTTTTGGTAGATGATATAAAATAATGACAGCATTTTCTTATTGCAAAAATAAAAATACAGATCATTAAAACATTCCAGAAATTTTAAGTCATGAATTAATAAAATCTGCAGCAAAATTTATTTAATTAGAAAATTATTTTAAAATAATTTAATACTAAATTTATTTAATTTATTGTTATTATTAATGCTCTATCTCTTGATATCAAGCACTATAATTACAAAAACTGCTTGCTTTAAATACATTATCTTCCACAATTGTCCTGGTTGGTCAACTAATTTTTGGCGAAATAAAATCTTTGGTAATGTTGTAGATAAGATGGTGTTTAAATTTTACATACATAATTTATCCTGGACTCTTCATTTAAAATATTTTACTGTAAGCTTATAAGAAACTAAAGAATATTTTCTAAAACTATTGAGAGATAGTACATGACAAATACAATAATATTGAAAATTATTAGAGATATCAAAAACAGAATTAGAGATCAGAGTTGAGTTCCAATTCTAGTCGGGTTCATTATATTCCCTTGTGCACATTTAAACTTGGGAAAGGTACGAATCTTCTCCCCCAGTTATGAATAACAGGGATATACTAAAAGATTTAAAATGTATATACCCTATGCACTACAACATTTCATTCTCTGTATTAGGAAATAATATATTAATCATCTTATAAATTTAAATATCAATTAAAAACTCAGTAACTAGCAAAACTATTTTAATGTATTTTTTATAAAATAAAGTCTTCTATTAATTTGATTGATAGAAGAGCAATTAAATTAAACAATTAGAAAATTTCCACTTTATTGTTTATTTCATAATTCATTCACTTAGAAGCAGAAATTATCAGAATTTTTAAACCAAAAGTTTAATTTCAATTCAAAGATAAATTTAGAGGTAATCATAATCAATTCCTGCTGATAATACCATATCAATAAGATGCAATAATTTAATTATATATGTGTATATATATGTATATAGAGAGAGAGAGAGATATAGATATATATATATATAAGATTTAAGATTCAGCCGATATTTTTATATATAGTGCTCAATATTAAATAATATTAAAAATAGAGCATTAATGATATTATATGAAAAGATTACTTAACTTTTAAATATAAATTTTATCCCAACATCGATGTTTCTTAAGATTGCATTTAAACATGAAACAGACTGTCACTTCTGGGTGTTGACCTCAGTGTCCACTTTTATGCTCTATCCCTAATATTGAGCACTTTAACCCATAAATATAGCATACCTCAAAACTATAATTTTATCATTTACACGATTTACAGTGTTCAAACTGTTATCCTCATCTTTGTTGCCATATTCACAACATTTCGGCCGTTATATGCTCAGGCCTTCTTCAGGTGATTGGAATTTTGAACTGAACTCTTCATTTCATCCACCAGGGTAGTTGTTCTAGTGCCATGTACCATGACTCTTCCGGATATCTCAGTTATCTCCCTTTAACTCAACTCTTCAAGTATTTGTTCTCCCTGAAATCGCCAGGTATTGAATTCACAACTCTTGAAACGATTTGGCCATGTGTCCTTGATGGCCCAGTGGATAAAAGCATTGGTTAGATCCAATGACTTGATCCAAAGAGATTACAACCACTAGACCCCCTACACAGATGATTTAATTATATTAGTGAAGGCTTGTGTAGAACCAATGACACTTTTCAAAAAGAAACTGATAACAATTAAATGGTGCACAGTTTTTCTGCAAAATCTCCAAACTCCCCTGTTTTTGGTTTAAATCCCCCTAAACTGGTTGCCATTCAAGGCAAAAGAGTCTAGTCTGCACTGCACTTTAATCCATATGTAAAGAAAGATTGATACATTCTTTTTCCAAGGGCATTGATGCAATGTGATTGAAACAAAATCATCCATAATCTGAATTTGGCTCATGAATTCCATACACACACACACACACACACACATATGTATAGAGAGAGAGTGTGTGTGTAACACTGATTTTTGACATACAGAGTGCACAGATATTCTGATCCTAGGTAGAAATGTTAATCCATGCATATATAATCCTGTCATCTTTTTATGGTGGCTATGCTTGCATTATATAATTCCTAAGTATATAAATTAATCTATAAGATGTAATATATAGGCTTGTAGGAATTATTTGCTCTGTGTTTTTCAAACATAATATAAAAGATTTTTTCTATACTCTTAAAATTCTGTCTACATAATTGAACATTAAGAAGTGTTATTTTTCTTCCATCTATTTTAAAAGAGATAAAATCTAGTTGGGTATATATTTATTGATTGAAATAATTTGAAATTTATAAGATATCAATATAAAATAAGGTTACCTGAAAAGTAGCACTAAACACAAGTATAGTTACATCTATTAGATTTAAATGACATTTATTATTAAATTACAATTCTAAATAGTTTTGTAGATAATTATTAAGAATTTGCTTTTGTGATAACATGACTCATATTAATCCATCAGCTTATAGCACTTCTTTAATTCACTTTGGCACTATATATTCAGATTTGAGAATTATTTTAAGATTTGTTCTGTTGCATTAGCTTGACTTTGTAAAGTTTGTGTTGCTCAAGAAACATAAAGCTGTAATAGACACATAATGCTTGAAACTTTAATTAACTAACTGCTGGAGACCAACTTGATAAAAGCTGAAAGCAAAGCAGGTGGTGATCAGTACTGCAGTAAGTACACTTATTTACATATTCTAGTCTGTCTGTGAAGCAATGAAACTGGTTTGAGATATTGTGACTGACATTTATGAAGACGAGACTTAGTTGATGGGAATGTTATCTAAAATTGTTATTTTAGAAAATGCAGATTTTTATCTCTTCTTGAACAAAATAAATTGTGCAGTGACTTATCTTCATTATTGTAATTATAAGTAAATATATTTCATTATTGTAATTATTATTATTTATTTAAAATTTTATTTTAGTTCAGAGTAGAACTTATAAGTATCTCATAATCACTGAATATACTATTTGTATTTTTACATATCAAACTTACCTGCAACAGCTTCAAAGAATAACATATGCATAATTTTTCATTTATAGAAATGTGGTCCTATTATTCTTTAGAAGAAATAGTTATCTTAATAGTTTAAATTAGTTTGACAGATTAAACTAAAAAGGGAAACCACAATATTAATTAAAAAGTTAAACATTATTCTCTGTATCAAATGTAAGCCATCAAATAATTTTATCTAGCTCTCATCAGTAATAAAGGATGAACCATAAATATATAAAAGAAAGTTAAGCCAAGTGAGTTTCATGGAGTATTAAATATTAAAACAAATCTATTTGCCTTTATTCATCTATTATGCATAAAAACTTATCCAAAAGCTAGAGCAGTAGTTCAAATTTATCAACAGTACCATTATTACCAATATCAGGTGTTTTACCAAAATTTCTATTTATATTAATAAACTATATATAAAATCTCAAAAGGTATTTCTTCATTATTATATAAATTCAGTATTAGGGATTTTATTCATTTGGCCATTCTCCTAAATATAAAACCACAATTTTATAATACAGTCAGATCTAAGGCGGGTGCAAGTCTTTTATGCTCCCCACCAATTGAAATCTATGATATGGCCCCACCCTACTGCTATATCTCAATTTTCATAAGGTGGTATTCATATAAAATACAAATTTTATTGCAGCCTAATTATGCACAATAATGGATTATATTCAATATAGGTGAACAATTCAACTAGAAAATTTGAAAATAAATAAAATGCATCTAAGT